GAAAGTGTACTGGAAAAAAAAAAAGTGTAATCTGGACAAGTGAGAAAAAATTAAAAATGCGTGAGATAATTGTTATTATTAATTGTTATTATTATTTTAAAAGGAAATGATCGAATAACGGGCAAAGGCTTGGTTTCTCGTGTCTTTGACCCCGTTATTTTTCCCTTAATTTTGTATTTTATTTATAAAATAAATGTAATGGAACGATGATTGAACGAAATGTATTAATTTTTACAATTTATTACAGTTTGGAAGAAAATTGTTGAGAGGAATATTTATTTCATTTATTTTATTGGAAATTGTTTATCGATATGTCGATGAAAAGAGGAATCGAGCGAGGCGATAAGAGAAAGTGTGATGACCGGTGTAATTATCAGATCGTAAAAAATGTTGTTAATCGAGTGAATTAATTAATAAAGATCGATTCAAGAGATAATAAATTGGAATAATAATTTTCAAGTAAGTTTTGAACTCGATATATCCCCAGAATTGAAATTGTATTTCGATTACTTTTATTCGTATAACGAGAAGATGAAAAGTTTTGAAGGAAATGTATGTTTTCTAAAATAAAATTAATTTTTTATTTCTTCAAATCTATCTATACATATTTATTCACAAAAATATTTTTCTTAACCAGGTAAGTAATATACCACAATGTGCTCATATTTTTACATAAGAGACTATCTAATATTTACAAAAATATTTATGCTACACTATGCTTAAGAATTATGCCAATTCTATACTTTTTAATAATATCAATGTATTAAATTAGATCAAGTTGATTTTTGAATTTAGATTTAGAAAATCATCATCATATTTTTTATTAATCACTTTATTCGTATAATATTCATACTTACAAAAATATTTTTTCTATCTTTATTATACAGATTAGAAGAATTGTGCGACGAATATTTTTGAATGAATATTTTTATTAAACTGGAACGATGGATGAAAAGTGGCAAAGGTAAATAAATGTCTGTTGGGTGAAAAAACTTCAACACCAAAGATAAATTACGACGTCCAACAATGGATTAAAACACGAATGTATTATTCCAAGTGCATACCTCGACGGACGGGATGAGTGGAATGAGTGCTCTACATGCAAATCCCGGGGGACTAATCTGAGCTAAAAGTCGTTTCCTGTGTTCGTTTTAATGGGCTGGCCGTGTTCGTCGATATCGATAGAAACGCGCACAACAACAACAACAACAACGTCAATACCCGGCAACTTGGAAAATCTATTTTGACTTAATACATTTTTCTTCGCGATGCTACCTCTAGTCGCTTTTATTTGTATAAACAGCTGGCTGTTCGCGATAACGATAACAATTCCGCATAAAGAACGATAACACTTTTAAATAGGAAATTTTCCTTTCACCTTCCGCCCGATAATAATCGTTTAAAAACAACTTGTGAAAAGTTGATTTTTCACACAAATCAATTTGATAAATTATTTCATGATGATGATAATTTTATATTCCGATC